GCCAACTGCAGAAGCTACAGAAACACATGATGTTAAATGGCTGTTTATCTATGACTGACTTATTAACTGATTGACTGACTGACTCAATGATTGACAGGTTGATTAACTGACTGACAGACTGACTTACTGTCTGAATGACAGACTGAGAGAGAGATTGACTGATTAACTGACTGATTAATTGACTATCAGACTGACTGACTGACTAGCTGATTGACTGACTGACTGACTGAGTGACTAATTGATTGACTGACAGACTGATTGACTGAGTAACTGATTAACAGACTGATTACCAGACTGATTGACTGACTGACTGACGGACTGACCGACTGATCAACTGACTGATTGACTGACTAATTGACTGACTGACGGACTGATTGACTTACTGACTAACAGAAGACTGACTGACAGACTGGCTGGCTGAATGACTGACTGATTGACTGACTGACTGATAATCAACGCATAGCCCAAACCGTACGATCTAGAATCCGTAAATTGTTAGTATTAAGTTATGTAACTGGACGGTAAGACGGTTAAACGGTTGTATCAAACTTTTTGCCTGATATCCAATCGGCATTCAACTCATATTCGATGACAATTTTATGAACACGTTCTGTAACCAATCGCAACAAACCACAGCCTTCTTGGCGAATGGTTGTTTGTTGAATCATGTTGAAAGTTGACCTTTCAGCTTGATGCTCATTTTAAAAGCTCTGCATTCTCAGAGTATCACTTATGGACAGACCGACAAATAGAATCAAATTATTGTCATAGTACAAGTATAGACTTAACATATGGCTTCTGAAAATTATATATAAATATATATATCTTTGAAAGCGTTTCACACTCTATTTTAATATTAATATACACCATGATGATTAATAAGTACCTACGAACTGTGTATACACAAGTATTATGTGTGTGTACATATATTCAATAGCTGTTAATACATCATTTCAATTTTGTAGCATGTGCCTGTGTCTATTTCTCATGGAGATTGCTGCACTGAGTGTGTGTACATATCGAAGTGTGTGTATATACACATAAGTACTAATTAAGGTGTCTGGAAATGTGTGTTTATTTGTTGTGCACAAAGCTCGTAAAATATCTTTGAACTCAAAATTTGTTTATCATCTGCAATCATTACTCATAATGCCCGATTTATATATAGCAATGAGTATATACTTCAAATGTACAAAGTGTATAAGAAATATTTATTAATGCACGATTGGGATGGACTGTTTTTGAAATTCTTTAAAAATGGGTAAAGAATTTTTCGTGTAAAGTCAATAAGTCATACGAGGATCCGAGCTTGTATTTCAGGAATTTATAATTAAATATCCACAAATTACAAAAAAAAAATATAATAATTATAAAAATAATAATAATAATAATAATAATAATAATAATAATAATAATAATAATAATAATAATAATAATAATAATAATAATAATAATAATAATAATAATAATAATAATAATAATAATAATAATAATAATAATAATAATAATAATAATAATAATAATAATAATAATAATAACTAATAATAATAATATATAATAATAATAATAATAATAATAATAATAATAATAATAATAATTATAATAATAATAATAATAATAATAATAACAATAATAATAATAATAATAATAATAATAATAATAATAATAATAATTATAATAATAATAATAATAATAAAAATAATAATAATCAAAAACTCTACGCAACTGTATCGATAACTAATCGATAATTTCCTTCCGATAAGTTAGCAACTACTTCCGAACTTTTGACCATAAATGGCAAAAACTTCGTTAAAGAAAAGTATGTAATTTACGACTTTAGTTTAAATTCGTGTCCAAAACTTTGCTGAAGAAAACATTTAACTAAGGCGGCCATTAAATACGACTTTGAGCAAAAGTTTTTGGTCTTTTGGAAAGTTAGAAAGCGAGACTTTTGCCATATAATATATATTAGATGTTTCATAAATGAATACAAACTTACTTGGATAGTCATCTCAATAATTGCGCTCGTTAAATATGCAAAAGCCAACTTGGCTGCTTCGAAATGCACACAACATTTTGGCGAAGCCTGTCACCCGGGACGGGCTAAAGAAAGAAAAAAAACAGACGAGGGGGAGCAACAGGCAACGTAAAAAGTCAAAGACAATTTTGTGCTTATTTAAGGACAACAAGGACGAGCGAAATGTCGAAGGCGACAGCGAAACTATAAAATTCATTGAGAGCAAAGTTAAGCAGAGCAACAAGTTATGCCAGAGCGCAGGCACAAACAGGCTACTCTCGGGCTTGGCTAAAGATAACTCACTGAGGGAGGGGCTTTGGGCGAGAGGGGGAGACGAGGGAGAGGAGGGAGACGAGGGGCTGTCGTGCCAAGTAACAGTCACTTAAAACGAGCCAAAGTCGCGGCTAAAATGTGCGCCCCAGCATGCTTCGAAACAAGAACAGATTTAAGTGCAGCCCTCGCGTAAATTGTGGGCGTGGCTGTTGTGAAGGTTGCGATATATTTTTATCACTTGAGCGGGGAGTGGGGGGAGTTGGGGGAGGGGCAGAGGGGAGCGGGGGTGGTGCGCCTAAGTTGTAGCCACATTAAGTTAGACACGCAGCAAAGCAAACACTTGAAAGCAGCACATGGCGTATACGTAATCTCGGCGCGCTTTGTGCGTGCGTGTGTGTCTGAATGAATGTGCTCAATGTCGCTGATAAGACGCCAGCCACGCGTGCTGATAATGACAAGTATCATTAGCTGCTCGAGAGAGAGAGCGCATGCCACTGACATTTAATGCCAAATCGTCCTGTTGCGCACTTTAAGGCGCTTTCGGCCATGTGGCACATTTGGCCATTTAACTAACCTTGGACAGTTTTTTTGTTTTTACTTTTCTCTCTCAACGTTTTTTTTTTTTCTACTCAGCATTTAGCAGCCATTTGGCAACATTTCCCGTTTCGGATAAACGCATTTGGCCCGCGAGCGCGTCCTTCGACGGCCAAAACAACCTTTGACACTTTGCCAATCGAGGCTGGAAATCTGAATATGCATGCGACGGCAACGGCGACTGCGACTGCGACTGCGACTGTGGCCGTGAGCGTGTAATTGTAACATGTATTGGCCATATATAGGCTGGCGAGCTGAATGCGAGTTTTTGGCTTTAACTACATTTCCAATATCAGTGAACACTTTTGCAGTGCGAGTAAAATATGTGCAAAAATTCGCTTTTCATTCAATAGCATTTCAGCTAAAACAAACACTTATAATGAAATCACGAATTTCCACTTCATGTTCAAATAAAATAAAATATATATTTACATATAGATTATGGAAATGCAACGTTTCCACTGAGCTGTGTTGTGCAGCGTGTTTCTTTGGGAAAACTATCGATAAATGCATACGCTTTAATTATAATGAAATAAAATGCATGTGATATCTCAGCTTTTTGTACTGAGAACATATTGCTTAAAACATTTATCGAATATAGAAATACACTGTAACTATCGATAGCATATATTTAAACTAAGTTGATCTTATTCGAGCTCAACAATCGAAAATATTATTAAAAGAATGCGAATACATGATAACATGTACATGATACATGATTAACATGTATATCGATAGATAGATATATGCACTATAAACATGTATATCGATCGATAGATAGATATACTATAAACATGTATATCGATAGATAGATAGCTATACTATAAACATGAATATCGATAGATAGATGGGTATACTAGAGACATGTATATCGATAGATGGATAGATAGACATGTATATCGATAGTCGCATTCAAAGATTGGCTTCTTCAAGACTATTAATTTAGAAGCAGCACATCAGAGCTACGTTCAATAGAATCAGTTGTTAGACACCAAGAAAATCAATTAAGTGAATATATCTCTAACAATTTGAAGTCTGTATCTATTAAATCCAATATTTCACTGCTTTTTTCTGCATGCATTGACTTTAATGCAATTTAATGCTGACAGTGGAAACGCCGCAATTCGCCACAACTGCGCTTAAGTTTCCTTTTTTTTAATGCGATTTATTGATACATGATTTATATCTGGCGATTGCGTGTGTGCCAAATATCGAAGGTAGCAAATGTCTGCAAACGGTGGCTGCCCCCGCAGCAGCTATTTTTACACGGCCATCAGATAACTTAATTTGATTTGTGTGCAACACACACATACACACACACAACAGCACTTATTGTCTGAGTGTGTGTATCTGTGGCTTTTACGCTCGATTGGCGTCGCCTGCTTCTTGTCTTCGCCGTTGATTTCCTTGTGTAACAATTTCAGTTGCAATTTTTCATTGCATACTTTCGGGAGCTGCTCGCATTCACATCGCCTGGCAGTAAATGGAGCGTGACCTGGCAAACATGTGCGTGTGTGTGTGTGTGTGTGTGTGTGTGTGTGTAAGCCCCTCGTAAACTTCGAGTGCTGCCCAACTCTCCAGGCAGTCCTTAAGTCGAGTTCTCAACTTATAATGTGCATACGTATATATATATATATGTATATTTATACTCTCGTAGGTTCTCTATGCAGAAGATGGCGCATTGTAAGCAGAGTCGATTGAGTTAATATATATAAAGCGAGTAGAAAACAGGTTTTAGAGCAGATAAGAGAATAATAATAATAATAAAAAGCGATAATCCTTTAATGAACTATATAAATACGCAAATTATAATTCCCTGTTTGTGAGTATAAATCCAGGGAGATATTTCTTAGATTTATAAAACAATTGCCTTTGAAGGCTGAATATATTTTGTTGCAATTCAGAAAAGCGAGATTATTTGATGTTTAATTAATTTAATTAATTAACATAATAAAAATTGGATACTGTACAATCGCCAGCAAAACGATCGCCAAATTCATAGAGACATCATTTATTTGTTTAGCCTAAAAAAGGGAATTAATCTCAATTTAAATGCAGGCACACAACTATATCGACTCGGTTGTTGAGGATGAGCAAGCATATAAACCTAATGAAATTCGGAGATTTTTTCTACTATGTGTTATTGAAATTGATGACAAAATTATAATACAATAGACCGAAAGTCTGTAGTTCATTAACTTCAGAGATTCAGCGCACACTGCGCCCCAAATAGAGCCTCTGTAGATTTCTCAAACAAATTCATTTCAAATTCAGTTAGCGGCAATTCAAGTACTTTTTGTACGCCATGAGTGCCCAGAATACATGGCAGAGACATGACCACGCTGTCCTCGACGCCCATCAGGCCCTGGACGTCGGTGCCGACGGACAGGATGCGTCCGCTGTTCGTCATCATGGCCTGGATAATGTCAACAACGGCCAAGGAGACGGCCCAGTTTGTGTAGCCCTTGACCTTGGATACCGCTCTACCGCCTTTGACCACATCCGTGTGAACCTGTTGCCATTTATCCTGATCTTGATCTGTGCCGATATTTGGAATAATGCGCATCAATGCAATGCCGCCGACCGTCACGCCCGACCAAACAGGCACCGAGCTATCCCCGTGCTCGCCCACAATGAACGCGTTTACCTCGGACGCAGCCACGCCCAGACGCTGGGCGAGCAAATAACGAAAACGCATCGAATCCAGATGACAACCGGACGATATGCAACGCTCCTTGGGTAATCCGCTAATTCTTCGAACCGCCCAGGTCATGACATCGGCCGGATTCGAGCTAATCACAAAAGTCGCATCCGGACTACTTTCCACCAATTTGGGCACCAGCTTCGACAGTATCTTCAACGTGTCCTTGGCAATATCTAAACGACTTTTGCCGGCTGGTCTCGTGCCGGCCGTTATGATTACGTACTTGGAGCCAGCCGTGCAATTGGCATCCGAACAGGTTTCGATTTTGGGCGATGCCAACAAGCTGGAGGCGTGCAAAAAATCGAGTGCTTCCGCTTCAACCCATTCCTTGCGCAAATCCACCATCACCAAATGCTGGGCCAATCGTCGATCGATCAGAAACGCACAGCACGCAAGTCCCACTTGCCCGGTGCCGATCACCGAAATCTTATCCGCCGGCTCACTGGGCTTGCCGATATCCTTAACATATTGCCTCTGGAACGTCGACATTGGCGAGTTGTTGCAATATGTTTTGCCATGCGGACTTCCTTCTGCGGGTCGGGTCCGACAAATGTGAACCGATCTTGTTAACATCTGGGGCAGCATAATATAAACTGGTAATTTGGAAAATAATCGAGTGCTAATAGATTCTAAATTTGATTAAATTTTCATTTCCAGTAAACTAAAATCTATAACTGACTAGTTAAATGGGGTTATCTATGTGTATAAGGCTTTTTCAGCTGCAAGAGTGGAAAATAGTGTAGTATATAGAACTGAGCCTTATACGCAAACCGTAATTTCCCTACTTAAAGAGCAGTGTTGTACAGTTTCGAATATTTTTGATAGTTGCACAGTTTCATAAAGTAAAAACTGCAAACAGTTTGACAGCATTCTATATTTAAAAAAAAATTCTTTATATGAAATGCACCTGATCAAATAAATAATTTCCCTACTTACAGAATAGTGTTGTAAAATTAGCGCCATTTTAATGGCCACATTTAACAAGCACACTAAATTTAAAAAATGTCCCTAGACACAACTGTACCTGTACATATAAATAATGTCCCTACTTACAGTGTTGTAAATTCAGAGCTGTTTTTAATGGTAAAATTTAAAAACTCCTTTGACATGGAAATTCACCTGATGAAATAAATAATTACCCTACTTCCAGAGTAGTACTGTAAGACGTGCGATTATTTTGACGATTTGCTCCGCAGTCTCAGCTATCGATTGGTTTTTTTGTTATCGATATTAGTTGGAATTGCCAGAAAGAAACCAAGCTGTTCTTAATTGCGATTTTTTTCAAATAGAAGAGAGGATATTGTTATATATAGAATTAACACGTTAAGCCTCATGAAATTAAGATTGCTTGTTCATAAACACATACATTGGCACATTTTTGGATTTTGTATTCTTAAAAATGTTTAATATAAAAATTTTATTAACTATCTAACGATCGTGGTAGCAGTATCAATATTGATGGAGCTACGGAATGACTGGAATGTATTAAATTTTAAGGAACATCAAAGAAATCTTTATGTTATATAAAACACATTGTTTATTCACTTAAATTTTGCTCAGCAGCCGTAGCTGATTTTCTTGCTGTCATGGGACTGTCAAATTCGTCTGTTGCTCGACCTTAACAATGGCAAATGAAAAATGGGGAATTTATTCAACGTGCAGCGTGTTTTAAGCAGCTTTGGGCAAAAATACACATGTATAGTATATATATATGTGCACATACATATATGCATAAACTCGCATAAGCATTAACATATTTTAATTAAAATCGGGATGAGGCACTTCTTACCGCAGCAACGTTGCACGTGGCGTATGAGTGATGTCTGTTCACAAACGCGAAGTGCTTGGCTTATATTTATTATAATGTACCCTTCTTCTTTTTATGAATGTCGTTTTAAGCTGCAAGCAAATTATTTAAATCCCATGAAAACAGGAACAGCTGCGGTCACCTTCAGCTGCAGCTGATATCTAAAGGCGTATATGGCTGACGAATTCGATCTCGAGTCCGGCAACGGCATATCCGGTTGTTCAACAGATAATTTGGGCCACAGTTTGTCTTGTTGTGCCTTCGAAATTGGCCACAAAATGAAAATGGCCAAAAGCAACAACAGCACAAATGAAACGTAATTACTCGACAACAATGCTTTTGCCACATTTACGTTGTTTTTTATATCGAGCTGCTGTGGTAGATGTCTACGGCATCGATTTGGTATAATTGAATGCAGGTCAATAATATGAAAAACAGCAAAAGCCCGCACAATTAAAGGGCAACGCACAGGGGTCGCAAATTGCACAGCTGAGGGGTGAGGGTAATTTTCTTTTAAATTTTCCATTTATTTTTTGTTTTAAAATATTTAAGATACGAGCAGCCTTGAGACTAAGTTACCGATTAATATATCTACAATTCCTCTTGCCAATTTAGCTATTTTGTTGCTAAATTTAGCTATTTTCACAAATCAATTTCCTTTTTCAATCAATGTAGCTATTTTCTAGCAGCTTGATAAAATGTAATACTCTGTTTATTGGCAATTAGAGCTCAGAATGCGTAGTCAGCTATTTTTACCTATTTTTAACACTGGACTTTTTTGTAACTGCAGTTGGCAGCACTGGTTCTCAAGCCTGTTGTCTCTTTCTCAGAGCCTGTAATAAGCCCATTATATAACTTATTTATCTCTGCTATATCGATACATTGCATCTATACATACATAAGCATGTATATCGATACAGTGTTTTATAACCGGAATTAAATTCGAACACAATGAGTAGAAAGCTTAGCTTTTAATAATTATTTATTTTACTTATTTCCTTTTAATTATTTTACTTTCTTTAAAACATTAAAAACTTTCCTGACTAACTAATAAACATGATATTAAAAATATCGAAATTAATACTGCATAAATATGCATTTAAGACTATCGAAAGTATCGATACCTCCTGATCTATAGAGTCGCTGTTTTCCAGCACTGTATGCCTTTATTATCTTTATCGTTTTGCAGCACTTTTCCTTAAGCCCATTTGAACTACGAAATTATAGCTTTAACTCTGGTATTTTTGTATTATCTACCACAATCGACATACATAGCTTTCAAATATGTATATTGCTATTAATATATTATTCAGCTTGAAATATCTGGATATACCTTCAGTATCGATTAAAGAGAAATTTCATTGCATATTTCCTTGCAAGCGCCTTTTCTTTTATGCTTTTTAGTTGCTGCAGCTTTTGGCATTTTGGTTTGTTGCCACAGTTCGTTGCATTCAGTTGCCTGTGGCATGAAGCGATCGATTCTTTTATGGGCTTATCCTTTTTTTAATGCATCAAAAATTTCACCACTGTGCAACACAATTTTTGGGCAATTTGCGTGAGTGTGTCGGGCGGGCAAAGGGGCAGGGCTCAGCGCGACGCCCACTCGGTTTAAATTTTTTATTTTTTGTTGAATGTTTTACATAAGAAAAATATAAAATAAAATAAACATTACTTATGCACGACACGTCGTGGCTGGCGCTGCAACCGAAGCTCGACTGCGTGTGTGTGTGCGAGTGAGAGAGAGAGAGAGAGAGAGAGAGAGTGTGTGCGTGTTATCGTTTAAATGTCTATATAACTTTGTGTGTGTGTGTGTGTGCCCGCAAATCGCACAGTCGCAACGGGCCGCGGGCAACAAAGTTGAGGTCTTTGGCGATAAAAGCGCAAACACACACACACACCTGCAGACATACACCTGCAGACATTCACCGTGCACAACATTCATTCGTACGAAACTCAAATTGTTTGAATACTCATGTTCTCTTCATGTTTTTTTTTTTTGGATTTTGCCAATTTTCTGTGCAGCCTCTGTGGAAATGGCAAATTGAATGCGAAATTGAACTTTTGCCAGCCAGCCGAGGGCGGGGAGGGCGTGGCGTGGCGGAGGCGACGCATACTTTTCTGGTGGAATGGCAGACATTCAAAAATGTTGGCAACAAGGTGCGCTACATTTCCGCACGGAAATTTAGCATAATTGTGTCGATGCCGTTGACATGGAGCGCCGGAAACAGTTGCTCCCATTTCGACAGGCTCTAATCCAAAACTATAACTAAAAGCAGCCGAAAAAATTAGTAATAATAAATAGACAACGGTTCGGTTTACTGTCGGAGCTAATGCTGCGTCTAGAGGTTCGGTTCGTGTATCTGATGAGCTGACATTGTGGTTCGTGCAAATCTCCATTTTTTTAATAAATAATTTAATTCTTCAAATAGTTTTATTGCACAAAGATTTTATCAAAAGAATAAAATCTGTTGCTCCTAAATTATTAAATTTTGTAATCAAAAAAATTATTCAATTTTAAATTTTGTTTTCATTCAGATTTTTATTTTATATTTGCTTGGGATACGCTTTAAGCTTCGTTTCAAGTGTTTTAAACGTTTCGCTTCAAGTTGATAAATCCTATAAAAATGTGCTTTTTAAGCTGAGCAACTCGAGTTTATTAAACGTGAAATTGCTGCGGCTAAGCCTGAAGCACGGCACACACATTGCGTATACGCCCCGTTTGCCATGCAAATTATATGTTATTATTATTGGCGCGTGTCGTAAGCAAAAAAAGATAATAAAAAGAACAAAATGAGAAGAGACTATGAAATTGCTGCCGAGATTTTGTGCGTTAAGCGTTACATAATCTAGGTAAATTTCAGGCAGCAGGCAAATATATGTTTATGTTGGAAATTAATAAGTAGCATAAATTTGCAGCATTAAAACATTTATTTGGCAATTTTAGCAAGCGACTAGTAAGGGTTTTTAAATATTAACTACGTTTTATATTTTATCTGAAGATATTGTCATATTCTTTTATTTAAAAAAATTAAGAGTACAACGAATTAAAATGATTTTTAAGATTGCAGAAAATCGTACGTCTGTTATCTAAATAAATGAAAACAACGAGTAAAAAATGAATAAAAAAAGATATAAAACTATTTTTTTATAAAAGAATTAATAAGAGATATGCATGTACTATAAATTCCCTAAAGATTTTGTGCTATTCTTTTATTTTAATAAAAATGTAAAAGTAGAAAAACATAAATTAAAGTGCAAAAAATATTTGAACTTTTGTTATTAATAAATGAAAATAAATAAAATAAAATAACTGAAAACAACGAGCAAATAAATGAAGAAAAAAAGTAAATTATTTGAATAAAACAGATAAAAGAAAAATTATAAAAAATTTCTTTCTGATCATCAGCGAAAAAAAATTTAAGTGGCTTTTAACTTGAAACCGCCTCCCCGAATATCTCCAAAAAATGTCCTGAGAAGCTGATTGTGTTTATTTGGTATATTTATTAAATTAAGTATGGGAATGCATTAACATTAACTATGAATGCAACCCTTTGATAATGTGACGTCACAATCCAATTTCATATTATAAACAGAATGAGTAACAATAAGTAATTAAAATTACTATTAATGTATTTCTAGCTCTGCCCGACAGTTGCATACATTAATTTGATATATCTATCTAATAAATATCTTTAAAATATATATATATATATATATATATGCATTGTCTATTTTGATGTAGCTCATCTGCTGAGCTTCATTAACGGCATGGCAAAGGCAGCGGGCCGCAAATACAGGTCATGCCACATGCCACACGCCGCGCAAATCAATTAAATTTATGCCAATGTCATGCTACGT